TATATATATATATACATATATCTGTGTCCAGCACCGGAAAGATGGCTGCAGCACCGGATGGAGCCATTGTCCATATCGGCTACCTTCATACCCGATACCTGAACTCCTCCATTAATGGCAAAGAGCTCCCTCGTCTTGATGTCCATATAGGTGAATAGGTACAGAGGCATATAGTGTGGATGTATAAGCTGGAATGCTAGAGCCACAGTCACCTGCAAATTTTCTGTCAACATATCAACTTTATTTTAAAAAAGGAATGCCTTACAAATGTATTATTTCTGAGTGTTCAAAAGTTAATTTATTATAAATAAACTGAACTCTTCATTCGAAAAATCATAATTACGTACTATGCACCACAATAGTGTCCAGCCAATTATTAAATACAAAGATATTTTAAAAAGGCTAACCAAAAAGTCCAACCATCAAAATGTATAACTGCTTTTTTTAAACGTATCTGCTTGAACAGTAGAGCCTGTCAGGACTCCGTTTCCTTGTTTTTTACCATCACATTGCTCTGCTTGCATATGAGGAGCTGGTTAGGCCCTTCATTAGTGGCTTTGATCATTTTCCAGGCATCATGGTGCATGAGTCCCTCCAGAGAACCGCCATTGATAGACAGGACTTCATCGCCAACCTCGATAAGTCCGGAAAGCTCTGCAGCTCCTCCTGTGTTAGACATGAACAGCAATTCAGACTCAGATAAAGCTCCTTATTTTACTCTGGTCTACTTATGATCTACACGCTGAAGATATATCCAAATTATAGCTATGATTTGAGAGATGGCCATTCACCTGGCTATAACCAACCGTCCCTGTCAGTGTCTGTCAGATTTAAGCCTCTGATTTCTCCTCTAATATATGCATATCTCACAGACTCTCATTATTTGAATTAAGTCAAAGATTTGTGTTTAAATAAATAATAAAGGTACTTTCACACAGGATACACTGCAATCATTACTTTCAGTGTGGCCGTTCCAAGAAAACACGCATGCAGCTGTCATGGTCACTGAGGTCAAAGTTCAACAAATGTAAAGTTTGATTTTGTTGAACTTTCCAGCGTTCCATCTATTCATCCTCTTCTGTTTATCCTTATCAGGGTCGCAGGGGGGTGGAGCCTATCCCAGCTATCATAGGGCGAGAGGCAGAGTAAACCCTGGACAGGTGACCAGTCTGTCACAGAAAGACAGACAACCATTCACACGAACATTTACACCTGTGGACAATCTGGAATCACCAGTTAACCCAACCCGACTGACTGCATGTCTGTGGACTGTGGGATGAAGCCGGAGAGAACCCGGGCAAACACGGGGAGAACGTGCACACAGACAACTGAATTCAGGACCTTCCTACTGTGAGGTAACCGTGCTAACCCAAGTGCCACAAATGTTAAGTTATGCAACAAATTTTGACCACAAGAGGAAAATGCTGTGGGGGAAACAAGTTTCCATCCAAACAGAAATGCCAATGCTGTTATAACAGTCACGTTGTTTGATTTAAGGCAGACACAGTGTAAACAGCTTAGATTTTGTGTTTCTCCCAGTAGCACTACAGCTATTAAAGCTCTTAAAGAAATTAGGGGTAAAGAAAATAAACTGATCTCACTGTGATGGCTGTGTTTACTTTCTCTTCTGATGCTCAAACACTGCACTGAAGTCGGCTTCAATCACTAACTTTTACTGAATGAACGAACAAAGGTAGCGTCCACTCTGTGTCCCACTGATGAAAGTATCTGTGTCTGTGGCTAAAGACCCGGAAAAATATACGTTAAGTTTGTGCAAATGCAAGCAGAACTGCTGCTGTAGCTTCATGATTAAAGTCCCAAGAATTGCAGTGAGTGTGCCCTATCCCCTGATCCCTGCTGTTCATTACAAATGCACCTACAAAATAAGAGAATGATCGTTTTGGGATTTTTTTTTAAGAAAGCATGAATGAAACCAGGAAGGAGTGTACACTGAAACACAGGAGGTGGAACGACTTTAGCCATGTTCCCTGTGATTCACACCAGGCTGAATTTGTTTGCTAAGCTAGTTATCTATGTAGCATTATGTTTATGTTTGAGCCCGAAGGTTTATGTGATAAAATCTTTAACAAACAAGAATCAGTATTCATGTTAACATTATCGTCTGTGACACCAGCAGTTACAAAGACACAGTTTACGTCACATGGAAACCTTGTGTTCATTGTTAACAGCGGCACACACACTGTGACGTCACAGTGTGTGTGCATTTTGTCTGAGAAGAAAAAGTCACCTTTAAAGATGCGTTTGACAGTGAGAGGCCTGTCTCCGTGGCTCAAAGACCTGCCCCCCTCCAGACTGAAGCCCAGTCCAACAGAAGTATTA